GGGCCCCCAAGATGGCGGGCCCGGGCGGCGGCGCAAGCCGACTCGCGCAGCCTCACCGGGCCCGGGCCCGAGCCTGCTGGCGCCGAGGCCCGATCACGCTGGCGGCGGCGACGACTTCTTCCTTCTGCTGCTGGACCCGGTGGGTGGCCACGTGGAGACTGCGGGCGCCGGCCAGGCCACAGGGCCCGTGTGGAGGGAGGAGGCCGCGCCAGGCCCGGGACTCCAGGGGCGCGAGAGCGGCGCGAACCCCGCGGGCCGCCCTGAGCTGGGCCCCTGCTGCCCGTCCGCGAGCCCCGCCCCGGCCCCGGCCCCGATCCGCCCCCCAAGCCCGGGCCCCGCCGCGGCCTTCGCTGGCACGGTCACCATCCACAACCAAGACCTGCTGTGGCGCTTTGAGAACGGGGTCCTCACCCTGGCCACGCCCCCGCCGCCCGCCTGGGAGCCCGGGGTCGCGCCTGCCCCGCAGGTCGGGGGTCTGATCATCCCCCAGCCGGGGGAGCCACACGCCACTCAGCCCGGCGACTGCCCCGAGCTGCCGCCCGACCTCTTGCTGGCCGAGCCGCCTGAGCCCGCGCCTGCTCCGGCGCCCGAGGAGGGGGCGGAGAGCCTGGCCGCCGCCGAAGGTCCCCGCGGATCACTGGGCCCAGGCTCAAGCATGGTGCTGTACGTGTGCCCAGAGGCGCAGTGCGGGCAGACCTTCGCCAAGAAGCACCAGCTGAAGGTGCACCTGCTGACGCACAGCAGCAGCCAGGGCCAGAGGCCCTTCAAGTGTCCCCTGGGCGGCTGCGGCTGGACCTTCACCACTTCGTACAAGCTCAAGCGGCACCTGCAGTCGCACGACAAACTGCGGCCCTTTGGCTGCCCGGCGGAGGGCTGTGGCAAGAGCTTCACCACCGTGTACAACCTCAAGGCGCATATGAAAGGCCACGAGCAGGAGAACTCATTCAAGTGCGAGGTGTGCGAGGAGAGTTTCCCCACGCAGGCCAAGCTGAGCGTCCACCAGCGCAGCCACTTTGAGCCAGAGAGGCCCTACCAGTGCGCGTTTTCCGGTTGCAAGAAGACGTTTATCACAGTGAGTGCCCTGTTTTCCCATAACCGCGCCCATTTCAGGGAGCAGGAACTCTTTTCCTGCTCCTTTCCTGGCTGCAGCAAACAGTATGACAAGGCCTGTAGGCTGAAAATTCACCTTCGGAGCCACACGGGCGAGAGACCTTTCCTTTGTGACTTTGATGGCTGTGGCTGGAACTTCACCAGCATGTCCAAACTCTTAAGGCACAAAAGGAAACACGAGGATGACCGGAGGTTCACGTGCCCTGTGGAAGGGTGTGGGAAATCTTTCACCAGGGCCGAGCATCTGAAAGGTCACAGCATAACCCACTTGGGCACAAAGCCTTTTGTGTGCCCCGTGGAAGGCTGCTGTGCCAGGTTCTCCGCTCGCAGTAGTCTATACATTCACTCCAAGAAACACCTGCAGGATGTGGACACCTGGAAAAGCCGTTGCCCAGTCTCCACTTGTAATAAACTTTTCACATCCAAGCACAGTATGAAGACCCACATGGCCAAAAGGCACAACCTCGGCCAGGACCTCTTAGCTCAGCTGGAAGCTTCGAATTCTCTTACACCCAGCAGTGAACTTATCAGCCAGGGACAGGGCGATGTCAGTGATGCAGACCTAGTACCTCTCTTTTCTGATGTGCCTGGCAGTAGTTCTGCTGCAATGCTGGACACGGCCTTGGTGAACTCTGGAATCTTGACTATTGATGTGGCTTCTGTGAGTTCAACTCTGGCAGGGAACCTCCCTCCTAATAATAATTCCTTAGGGCAGGCTATGGACCGTCGGGCCTCGATGGCCACCAGTGATCTTCCTCAAAGTCTGGATACCTCTCTCTTTTTTGGAACAACGGCCACAGGTTTTCAGCAGAGCACCTTAGATATGGATGATGTCCCAAGTGTAAGTGCAGGGCCACTGGGCTCTTTGCCTATAAAGAACTCGAGTCAAGAGCCCCAAGCTCTGACCCCCAGCAATAAGTTAACAGTGGACACAGATGCTCTGACTCCTTCAAGCGCCCTTTGTGACAACAGTGTCTCAGCACTACTGACGCCAACCAAAGTGGAATGGAACGTACATCCTGACTCTGACTTCTTTGAACGGGAGGAAGAAACCCCGTTTGGGTTCTCCAGTCCAGCAGGAAACCATAGTTCTCAGAAAGAAACAGATCTTACCACAGTGACTGGCAGCGCATTTTTGGTATGAACTATAGTCATTCATCGTCCCATGGCTTACTTCTGTTACACTCAGTTTTGAGGATATTCTGGACAAAATGTTTAAGTGCAGTCATTTCTTACTGGTTTGCAAAAGAATAGATTCCCTGGACTACAAGTTGGAGATTTAAATTCTGATCTTGAGTCTGGAACTGACAAGTTTTGTGACCTTGAGCAAGTCACTTAAGCCATCTGAGCCTTAATTTCCTTATTTATAAAATGAGGGGGTTTGCATAGATTGTTTATAATGTTGTTTTCAGCTTTGTGATTCCATGATTTTTTGTTCTTCTTTTGAAAAATTTCAGGCATTTTAACTGTGTTGCATGTGCTTAGTTAATGATCAGAGAAGCAGTATTTAATTTATCTTTAAAACTTTAATAGAAATTTTAGACAATACCAAAATATTTTTAAAAACTATTGCTGGAGCTTAAAGCAAAGAAAGCTAAAAAATATAAATTTCTTCTCCTTACTTCTTGATCATTCTAACCTCCTTTTTTGTGATGGGAGGATGTATTTTTGTTGTGGACAGTGCCTGAGATTAGATATGACACAGACCCTTAGTGAAATATTGGCTTTGTGATGTTGAATAAGTGGCCTTAAATAAGTTATGTAGTCTAACTAAACCTTAGTTTTCTAGGTGTAAGACAGTCATGGCAAAGTACAGGTACCAGGCCCGTCCTTTTTCTATCCCAGTAGTTGGCCTTGGAGGGAAAATGTTAATGTGTTTTGGCTTGTTGGGTGAATCTTTTATCACCTTTCCTGTCCTTGTTCCTGCTTCCTCAAAGGAGATAAATTCTCATGATTTAACATCACATTTGAGTAGGCTATAAAAGGTTAAATAAGGGGGGAAGGGAATCTCTTCCTTCCACAGAATAAAAAGGATTTTTGTCCACATGTTCATTAAATCAGTTTGCTAGCGTCTTTCCTCTGTGTTTAAAGATAAGCCTTGGAGTGACTGTGGAGCCTGTTGTTCCATGAAAATCTCGGAATCCAACATAGGGAGGTTTTCTCCTTTTTGTGTCCAGGAGAGTTCATTGTCTGTCCTTTCCAAAAGTTGGAAGGAGAGGTCTAGTCTACATTTTGAGTAGATATTGTCTGTCTTACATGAGTATAACATTTTACAGCACTTTTACAACCATTATAGTTGACTCTCACAATCCTGTGATACAGTTGTGGCAAAGTCTGAACTACAACTCATAATAAAATTTAGCTAACTCACATTCTAGACGGATTTTCCTTAGTGAGTATTAATTCTGTGTATAGCTGAAAGCAAGGAGGAAATATTTTCACCTCTCTCTTTCCACCCATCTGCGTTCATGATTTATTTTGGTTTATAAGCAGTTGCTCTCCTCCAGCTTAACTCTGTTCCCTCTCCACGCTACTCCCTTATTCCCTTGCATGTGCACAGCAGTCCTTGTCATGTATCTCCTTTAAAAAAAAAATTAATAGGTCTCTTTTTTGGTCACCGTGTTTCAGCCATTCTCCTCACAGCCCGTTTTTCAATTCAGAATATTATTTACTGCAAGCCTGTGTGTACACTGAGAAATTACTTTCTGGATTCAGATACCAATTGGTTTATATATGAGTCAGATGATAACAGGGATATTTTATATAAGGTTTTAGTAAGAAGTGTATTTCTTTTTCAGTACTTTTCTAAATTTTTCATTGTGTAGTTCTGCTAGCAAACACTATTAGTTGCTCTAAAACATTCTAACACAGTAATGTTTGCATGTTGATGTTAATGGATAAAAATTATAGCACTTGGCAGTGTACTTTATAATCTGCCACTTTGAATGTGTCTGTATTGTCTTTATAATTTTTAAATTGTTTGTACTCATTCAGTGAAAAAGCCAAAAATATACATAAATTTGTAATGCAAACAAATGGTCAGAGTTTCATTGTGTCTAACCATTTAACAGTTCTCCCTCAGCACTTTGGAATGATTTGCACACTTTATGCCTATTTTAGAAATGTGTTTTCTTTAGTTAAGTCCTCTTAAATAGATGATTCTTCGTGTCTTACAAATAAGGAATACAGAGGTCTGAGGTGAACACCCAGGTCATAACCATCATAATAACCACAAAGATATTTGAAAATCCTATCACTCAGGGTCTGTCACTCAGACCTATTTCCTCCCGTTAAAAACTATCATAAACTATACTTCTGTTCTTTTCTGTGGAATTTTCAAAGGACAAATTTTACTTAAAGATAAAAAATTTGTAATCATCTGTGAGCTCACACGATTTCTTTCAGTTTGCTCAAGAGATTTCTCTTTCAACACCATTTTCCCAGCATGATGTTCAGAAGAAGCTGAAATTACAGTAAGAAATATGGCTATAAACATAATGGTTACATTTCGTTGGTGCTGGTATAAATTTGCCATTTTTCTTTTAGACAGTGGGGCATGATTTAATTTCATCTCTTGCCCTTTGGTCCTTGTCAGTCCTTGATTTATTAGAATTTTGCCAATTGAAAACACAATAGCAAGATGCCTTGTAAGAAGGTCGGCTTCTGGGGGCTCTGTTGAATATGTTCCTCACTAGTTAAAATATTGGCATTTTTACCAGTGATCTTATGTTGTTGTTGTTGCTAGGCGCTGTCAAGTCGGTTTCGACTCAGTGAACCCGTGTACAACAGAACGAAATGCTAAAAGCTTGTGTAATAGAAGTAAAATTTGATAGAATATGAGAATCATTTTTTTCCCCGTGTATTAAATGCTTATTTTTCCCAACCAGGAAAAATAAGACAAAGCTTTAGTATAACAGGTTATTTACCACTATTGCTTGATTCCAGATAAAACAATGATTAACTCTCTGCTTGGAAATATTCAGAACCCCTTAGTAATTCTTGATTACCAAACAGATCCACTTGATGATTTGGTAACAATAAAGCCTAATTTAGATATAGCTTGCTCAAAGCATGTGATAACGGAAATATAAGGCTGAGCTGAAATTTATTTTCATACTGCTTTTAAATATAAGGTTTGCTCAGCAATTAAAAAAATAAAATATGTGTTGGGGGTTGACAGGACAAATTGTCTAAGCTTTTTGTCAGAAAACAGCTACATATAAAAAGCAAAGTGCTCATTACAAGTGAATTTTATCTATTTGTGAAATCTGAATTGAGGAGTCCTTTGGTAACATTTTTTAAGCTAGGGACGCCAATGTATATTTCAAGTTAGTATGTTTTCCTAACTACAAGAAAACTGTAAGTACTAGGGGTATAGGTATGAGGGGCAAAATATGAGCCTTATCTTCATTTTGAAGAGGACATAGAAATTCAAATATTAAATATTTTGAAAATAAGCAATACCAGCACACATGTTTTCAGACAGTGAATCAATGGCTTGGAGGACGAGGAGGAGCAGGAGCTGGATTTTAATGGATGATTGGATTTACTTATGTAGAGGAGAGTTTAGGTGAGTTCCAGCCAGGGAAAGAATTAGAAATGGAATTGATCACACAACACTGGGAAAGCAAATCTAGCTCAAAAGCAGAGCTGATGTTTGGTGTTTGTTGGGTGTTAGAATTGGACAGCCGATATGGAGCCAAACTCTGGAGGGCTATGAAAACCAATTAGAGTAGATAGGACTTTATCTGGGCAGAATTAAGAGCCCGTGAAGTTATTTGAGAACAGAAGTCGAATGTATAGAAAGTTTATTGAAGTGGATCTTTATAGTATGGATTTGATGAGACAGAGATTAGAAATAAAGAAATGATTTAGTAGTAATAACTCAGGGTGCTGTGATGAAGACTTGGACTGCAGTAGTGGCAGGAAGGAACAGATATAGGACGTTTCCAGACTGAAGAAACAAATACAACTTTGTGACTCATTATTGAATATATAGGCCGTATATTGAGAAGAGAGAGGAAGATCAGAAATTACTGATTTCATGGAGACTGTAAAAATTACATTTCATTAACATGATCAAGAAGGTCACATATTGAAATCTTTCCAGGAATGTGTATGGAAAGATGATTAGTTTAGGGCATGTCATTGGAGAGTGCTAAATCATAGTTATTCCTGAATAAATTATACACTTTGTGCACTATCCACACTATTAGACAGCAGAGGCTACTTGAACTTGCTTGTCTCCCTCATATGTTCTCCGATTCACCTTTAATGTCTGCACTCATGTTTCCTTTTGAGTATTCACAGCTCTCTTCAACCTGTTAAAATACTTAACCAATACTCCTCTGCATCAAAATGAGCTAGCTATGCTATCTCTGTCTGCATTTCTTTCTTACTACTACTCTCTTCCCTACTACAGATATTCAACAGATATTTTATGTGGGAATTTATTAGTATAACAAATGCAAGAAGGAAAAAAAAAAAACCCAAACCTGTTGCTGTTGAGTTGATTCCTACTCATAGCTACCCTATAGTAGAATGGCCCCATAGGGTTTCCAAGGAGCAGCTGGTGGATTCAAACTGCCGACCTTTTGGTTAGCAGCCAAGCTCTTAATACTGTGCCACCATAATTTGGAGGATGCTGTTTTGTCATTAATTTCAATAGTTCCTCATGATAAACTTTATTAGATTTAGTTTTGCCTGCATTTTTCTCAGTTTGGAAGAGGCAGGACTAGGATTGTCCAAAAACTAACTTCCATAGATATGTGACATGTGATCCTTGGGGCTCTTTACTCAGAATCCCGTCACTAGCTATCATGTTGAGGCAGGTGGGAATTACATCCTCTGTTCTCTACACACTCTAACATATTCTCTCCATTTTATAGTTCCCTTGACCTGGTAGCATAGTGATTAAGTGCTACAGTTGCTAACCAAAGGGTCCACAGTTTGAATCCACCAGGCTCTCCTTGGAAACTCTATGGGGCAGCTCTACTCTGTCCTATAGGGTTGCTATGAGTCGGAATTACTCAACAGCAATGGGTTTGACCTCTAACGGTACTAACCCAGAATAATGGAGTGGATAAAAAGAGTGAGAGAATAAGTAAGTAGCACAAATAACTGCCTAGGGATTTCATTTTATTTGATGATGAAGTTGACTGCTGCCCTGCATTGTCAACAGAACAATTAATCTCATTCTAGTTCTCTGCTGACATTATGAACATTCAAAATATATTCACTGTCACTCTGCCTGTAGAAAATACCCTAACTCAGTATTTTTAAATAAAGCATGCAATTATTCGTAATAAGGTGTCAGTAATTATTTACTAGTAAGGTGTCAATCCCTTAGGAATATCTTTTATCATTACCGTAATGATAATCAGCAGGTAGTTATTGAAAGCTTACTCTGTGTGAGGCACTCCGAAGTATTACACAAAAGTATATTTCATTAATTCATGCAAACAAATATTTTTGAGCAAATGTTTTACAAATTCTGCCCTGGTGCTTAAACATGGAAAAACAAAAAAAAATCAGCAAGCAATGAAAAACAATATATAATCAAGTTCGAAATGGTTGAAACTTGAAATAACACACTTAATTAGAATAGCAGTTGTCATTCTCAGAGTATGGACTGAAGATTCTGATGAGGAAAAATTCAATGCACAGATTATCAAAAGCTATTTCAAAAAGTTATAAGAATCTAAAATTTAAATTGGGAGACAGCAATTAGGACAAACTATCTTAAATTAAAATTTTAACAGAATTTTATGTGATAGTCTTAACAAATTATAGCAAAACACCTTGGGAAATACAAATTATGCTTTATTTTTATTTGTTCTGGATTGGAATCCTAGATTTATTAAGTTTTATATCTGGAAGTGATCTTTTAGAAATCATATAAGACAAATACGTTATTTTCTAATGAGAAAACACATACTACAAATAGTATTAAGCCTGTATTTTTCTAAGTAAATTTTTCTTTCATCATAACAGAAATACAAGTAAAATATAATTTTCTGAAAAAAATAAAAAAAACAAGTACTTTAATTAGAAAATGATTCTATCATGCAGGTATATTAGCTGGAAAGATGAGTATATAAATTTCATGTGATATTTGGGACAGAGAACTGGAAGTTAGCATGGGGAATCCTGAGAGTTCAATCATGTGGTGAGGCTCAGTGAAAGCATCAAGCGAACATTTCAGATTCTGAATAAAATATAAGTAGTTTAACACATGGAAAGGGAAACAAAGTCCATTATTACAAAATAAACTCTCTTTAGTGATAAGCATCTTGGACTATTATGTATACAAGATGTAAAACAACCACAAAGGGTAGCAAAAAGGAAAACATTTCAACTCTCAGGCATTCTCACTGAGGAATGAAACCAAGAAATGATTAATCTTTGCCAAGGCCTACTTCCCTTTCCTGATTACACATACAATGGAGGCATATAACTGCAGTGTGGGACTACATTATGCTGGATGTGGAAGAAGGAAGCCGTCACATGCCTGTGGGGACATAGGCCAAAACAGAAAGCAGAAATGGAAATTCCACGGGCAATGACTCAGTGAATAGCACACCAATTTACCTCAGGCTAGTTTCAATTTTAAAATAGTGCTGCTGGAGTGAGTACTTTTTTTCCTCCCAACCCGTTTTGGCATTGCTTAGTCAATGCTAAATTTAGCACTTGGTATTTCCAAGAAGATACATTTTTCCTCCTTAAAGTCATCTTATGTTCCTAGGGTAATTATTATTTTATTGTTCATTATCATTAATAATAATATCAATAAGAATTCCATCAGATGTCATGATTATGCTGTAGAAAAAAAGATGTCATATTATTTTTGCCTCAACTTTAAAAATACTGTTAAGTAAAATTTGCATTTTTCTTTTTTAGGTGAGGACTCACTTTCCCACTTGGGTATGTCACTGTTGTTTTAGTACTTAGAAAGCAACAGAGTTTGAGAAAATTGTTAAAATAAGTGTTTGCAATTAAAATTTTAGAAATTTTGCTAATTTGAAAATGGAGAAAATGGAGAAATAGGCTAGCTGTACTACTTTCTAGATATCAGAGAGGGCTTATGGAAAGGAAGGAAGGACAAAATCATTAGAAACAAAAATAAATTCATTTCTGTCACTAAATCAGATCTTGAATTTATGAATTTCGCTTAAAATCCAATATTTTATATTATATAACATACAATCATTTTAGAAGATTCTATCTACAGCATTGAGTGTTTAGGTCAGACCTTAAAAATTTGACTGACATTTTATTTTGATAGTAGGTGTTAGATACTCCTTTTCATTGCTAAATCTATGTACCAAATCTACTGAATATTACAAAAACTCACTGGGGAGAATCTTGCTTGCAAAGTGATTCTGACTGTCTTTCACCATAGATTCTTTTGGGGCAAAAAAGATCTTCAAAGATAAAATGTAACCTAAATTTACAAAAATCATTGAACATTCTTCTCCAAAATAGAAATGATAAAAGAAAGTTTACACAAAAAAAGATTAAGTTTGCCCTATAGCCAGGAGTTTTGGCCTTTCTTAAGGATGTATCTTTGCTTGACAGAATCTGGATAAAAGCATAATAACACTATTTGAAATTTCCAGTATTTTCAAGTTAGAATAGCAATATGAAACTATAAAATAGATATTATAGCATCATTGGTTGTCTGGCTGTTTAATACCATCTGGCTGTCAGAAATTCTATGAATATATAGTGCTAAAAAATAATAAAAACGTAAAGAAATTAAAACGTAGGGTTTATTCGAGCAGTTATTCTATATGCATATAGGGAGACCATTCCGATTCTTAAAGAAAGCAAAAAATAAAACATAGCTCAATGTAGGTTAGTTGCAATGAAACTTAAAGGAACATGAAGGAGTAAGATAGATAATAACCATCGGCTAATCTTAACGTGATTGATTGAACCATGCCACCCCCCCCTTTATTGAGATCATTTGGCTTCAGATTAAT